TTTCAGCAGTTCTGCAGCATAATAAGGAGGAAATCATCAATTTTTTTTTAAGAAAGAGCAGATTTAAAGTGATTGTAGATGTTTGCTGCTCCCAGAATTAAGTTTTCCCATACTCAGATCACCTCTTAATTCTCCTGATTCCTGGAGTGACCAGGAATCTCCGAGCTATTGCTGCAGAAATGCAGTTCCCTGTGGTAATAATGCTCCTCAGTGAAGAATTTGGGGTATTTTTCTCCAGGTAATGTGGCTGATTTTCCAGCTGCAGGTGAGGTTCAGTCCACTAACAAATTGGTTATTGAAACAGGTTGTTTTTTTCCTTCCAGTTTGGTATCCTTTGGGGGAAGGTGCAAAATATGGTACAAGCATTTTTCGTTAAATAAAGACGTTTATAATATATAAAAATATAAATATATATATATATAAAATAAATATTTGGTTTATTGCTACATCCTTCAGTTTGGGGCTGAGCTGAGCTGAATTCCAGGGAAGAGAGGAAGCTTTTAGGCACAGACTGTCAGGCTGACCTGAGCGAGGGAGTTTGATTTAAATCAGGTGTGACACTCCTGCTGCAATCCATCCTGAGATATTTCCTACCTGCTCTCACTCTGGACACACAGGGACATTATTTTGGCCCCTCCTGAGCTGACCTTCCCCCCCCTCGAGAAGGACAAAGTCACCTTTTATCCAAATTTGGGTGGGTTTTTGCCCCTTTTGCTCTGTATTTAGTGGTGTCTCCGTGGCTTCAGGTGTGTTTGTGGAGCTGCAATGATTGATAACCCCAACACCACCAGGCTGGGAGCTGATTAAATCCCACTGCTGCTTCCCAGCCCTGCTGGCAGGGGCTGACCTAATTTTGACACTGCAAAGCTTATCAGAGGAGTTATCTATTGAGTTAGGGGAGCCCTAATGCTGTTTCTGGGAACAGATGGATTTGTGGGGCTTTTTTTCCTCCCCCCTCTCCACTCTTACAACTCATTACTCTGCTGCTCATTGTTCCTGCTGCTGGGCAAGGGTGGAAAACTTGGGGTCTCTGTGGAGTGGGGAGTTTGTTCCAGTTCAGAGAAAATGCCAGGGGAGCTCTTGAGGTGTGAATTTGGGCTCAGATCATGGAATTCCAGGCTGCTTTGGGTTGGAAGGGATATTAAAGACACTTTAGTTCCACCCCCTCCATGGGCAGGGACACTTTCTGCTGTCCCAGGTTGCTCCAAGCCCTGTCCTACCTGGCCTTGGACACTTCCAGGGATTCAGGGGCAGCCACAGTTTCTCTGGGAATTCCATCTCAGCCCCTCCTCACCCTCCCAGCCAGCAATTCCTTCCCAATATCCCATCTAAACCTCAGAATTGTTGGATAGAAGCAGCCAACAAGGAGGATTGTCCCATGAGGATGATGAAGGAGATGGTGCCACAGCTCCTCTGCAGCAGAAGGATGGGGGGTTGTTGTTGAGCCTTTTCCTCCTGCCAAGCTTTCCCTGCTCCCAGTTTGTGCCTTGCCAGGCTGGATTCCTTCCTGGAATGTTTGCTGGGTGTCAGCACCGGCCAAATCCCTCTCCAGTGTCCCAAACAAAATCAGTGCTCAGTGTGTTTTATTGGAATGCCTTGCCTGGGACGAAATCCCTGGAGGCAGGAGGAGCTGTAATGAATATTCCTGCAGGAGTGAGGGAGGGAGGTGACATTTCCTAATTACACAATGCCTTCTGAACCGTAAGAGTTTAAAACTTGAAGAAATGAGAATATTTTTTATATTTGCTTTTGGTGGTTTAATCTCCTCTTAAAAGAGGGTTTTCTTTTGCCTTAATAATTCCCCAGGGGGGTTGTTTTTCCCTTTCTGTGTTGCCTTCCCCAAACCTAATGGATCTGGAACAGTGGCCCAGACACTGAAAATGAAGGACATTTCAGATGTAATTTGGTGTTAGATGAATATAATATGAAGGAAAATGTAATATTAATGAAATATGGATTTAAAGGATGTTGGAATAATGTTGCTGACTCTTCTAATTTTGTCTGAAGGCCAATGAGCTGTGCTGAACCCTCTCTTACCTTTCTGCTCCGTGCCTCTGCTCCAGCATTTCGGGATTTGGGGGTTTGTGATGTTGAACTCCTGAGGGGTGTGGAGAGGGAGCAGCATGTCAGGAGTTAGAGCTGCTGTTCTACTTAGAAAATAATAATAATAATTAAGGATTAACAGATTCTTTGAAGGTCAGAGTGTGATACATGATGTGGACACTTAACCAAGGACATCCCTGTCCTCGCAGGAGCCCCAGGGGAGGAGCAGCTTGGATCTGTGGGATTCCTAAAATCCCAGAATGGTTTAGGTTGGAAAAGACCTTAAATCCCATCCAACCCCACCCCCTGCCATGGGCAGGGACACCTTCCAACCTCCCAGGTGGCTCCAAGGCCTGAGCATTGGGTTGTATTTGGAATAACTGATGCCTGGGAGCAATTTTTGGGGTTTTTTTTTGGCCTTGCAAAACTTCTGGGAGAAGGAATGTGTTGGTCTTCACCTTGGCATCATCTGGGATTAAATCCCCCGAAAAAGAGTGGAGAGGGAAAGCTTTTGGAGGTTTGAAACTCAGGAGGTGGTGGCTGGAAGGGCAGAGCTCGCTGGAAGCTTTGCTGGAGGGATGGCTTCAAACTGACAGTAGGGTTAGGTGGGATATTGGGAAGGAATTCCTGGCTATGAGGGTGGGGAGGGACTGGAATGGATTTCCCAGAGAAGCTGTGGCTGCCCCTGGATCCCTGGAAGTGTCCAAGGCCAGGTTGGACAGGGCTTGGAGCGACCTGGGAGGTGTTGGCTTGTAATGAGATGATCTTCAAGGTCCCTTCTAATCCCAACCATTCCATGTTTCTGAGCAGGAAACCTCCATTCCCTGCAGGGGCTTCTCTGTCTGCTCCTCCTGGGCCTCAGGAGAGGCTGCACCGAGGACAGAGTTCTCTCAGAAGGGATTAAGCCAAGCCAAGCACAAGGCAAAATGAGCTAAATATGGAAGTGTGAGACAGGCAGGGCAGTACAAGGTACTGGGGATGGCAGGCTTGGTCATTCCAGCCTGAAAGAATTCCTCTTTTCCTGCTGCTTCCCTCGACCTGACACTGTCCTTTGCTCAGGTCTCATTGTCTGCAGGTTCTGGAAGGTCAGGGGCAGAAATGGGAATTCTTGGCAAGTTCTTATTAATCCCAGGCCTTGGGAATCATTGACTGTTCTCCAGGGAAAACTCTTGGATGTTGGTCCAACATCCCAGGGCTCCTCCATGGGACAGGGAGTTTGGTGGCCTCAAGTCCTGCTGGGTTCAGCTCTAGTTCTGCTCCCTGGTTGGGATTCAAGGGTTGAATCAGGATTTTAAGGCATCTGCACTTGCACTGAACAGGAGCATCAGCCCACGAGCAGAGAGGGTGAAATTCCGGGGTCTTTAACGTCCCCCAGAATGGCATTTTATCTCCTGCTTAGTTTGTGTGATTTTATTTGGCAGCAGGACTGTAAATCATCTTCCTTCCCCTATCGATCGGCTCCCTGAAAATTTTAATACTTGCGGATTTCACGCTTCAGAAATAAAATTGTAGTGCCAGGAACGTGCTTTGGAGACTCGTGGAAGTGGAGCTGTAATTTATACGGGTGGTTTGAACAGCAACGTTGTGTTATGTTTTTTTTTTAATGTACATCATGTAGAGTTGTGTGAATTCCTTGTACTACAGGTTGTACATGCAAGAAAATTAAAGTTCTGCCTGGATTTAACCTCTGGTCCGAGTCCTGATCCCACTGACAGCGACAGGAGTTTGGTCTCAGCTTGGAAAGGAAGCAGCATCAGCGCCACTGTTTTTCCTGCTTCATTTTCCTGCTTTCATTAAGCCTTTTCATTTGCATAATGAGTGTGATAATACATTTAGGAATATATATAATTAGGAGAAAAAAAAGACAACAATGCAGAGTTCATATTGGAAATGGAAACAAAAAGAGAAAGGGGTTGGTTGAGGGGATTGTGAGGGATTATTGAGGACCATGGAAATGTCTTTGAGTAAGGAGGGTGTAAGTGCTGAGTAAGCAAAGGAGGAGCTGTGTGGGGAGGATCCTCAGTGCTGGGGGGTCTGAGCAGCCCCAGGGTGGGGGGTCTGAGAAAGATTGAAGTCATTAAAGAGCATCCAAAGGAGGGCAATGAAGATGGTGATGAAGGGCCTTGGGGGAAGGCCATGAGAACCCTTCAGGCAGGAATTTGGGCTGAGGTCATGGAATCTCAGGGATGAGGAGCAGCTGAGGGCTCAGCGAGTGAGGGGAGACCTCACTGCAGTTCCAGCTTCCTCAGGAGGGGCAGAGGAGGGGCAGGACTGAGCTCTGCCCTGGGGGGGGACCAGGGACAGGACCTGGAGCTGTGCCAGGGCAGGCTCAGGTGGGATCTCAGGACAAGGCTCTTCCCCCAGAGGGTGGTTGGCACTGAACAGGCTCCCCAGGGCAGTGGGCACAGCCCCAAGGCTCCAGGAGGGTTGGGATGATCCCTCAGGGACAGGGGGGGATTGTTGGGGTGTCCTGGGCAGGGCCAGGGGTTGGACTGGATGATCCTTGGGGGTCCCTTCCAACTTGGCATATCCTGTGATTCCATGTACATGCTGAGGAGCAAAGGGGTGTCTGTGAGGAAAGGAGGTTGTAGTGAGAGGGGTGTCAGTCCAGTCTCTCCTCCCAGGAACCAGATGTAGGACAAGAGTGCTCAGTCTCGAGCTGCACCAGGAGAGCGTCAGCTTGGGCATTGGGAAGAGGTTCTTTCCAGACACTGGAAGGGGCTGCCCAGGGAGGGGGTGGATTCCCCATCCCTGGGGGTGTCCAAGGACAGGCTGGATGTGGCATCAGTGCCATGGGCTGGGTGACAGGGTGGGGTTGGATCAAAGGTTGGAGAGGATGATCTCAGAGGGCTTTTCCAGCCCGGTTGGTTGTGGGATTCTGGGCTGGTCTGAGGGGTGGTCCCCGGGTTGGAGGAGCATTGCTGACCTGCCCTCTCCCCCTCTCTGTGTGCCCCCAGCGCCCCCCACAGTGAGGATCGTGCACTCAGGCCTGGCCTGCAACATCGAGGAGGAGCGATACTCGGAGAGGGTCTACACCATCCGCGAGGGAGAGACCCTGGAGCTCACCTGCCTGGTCACCGGCCACCCCCGCCCACAGGTGAGCCCCACCCGTGCCCCCCATCCCTTCCCTGTGCCCCCCATCCCTTCTCTGTACCCCCCATCCCT